TGAATATATCAAGTGCTGAATAAGTGAATTAATGCAATTCTAGAGGTAATATTTCATACTTGCAATCATTTGGGAAGCAGAATTATGTATTTTCAAGGTGGAGCAAAATGCTGTCAAACATATATTTATTGATCACTCAGTATTCACTAATTATTTCAATAAACACTATTTTCTTCTGTGTAAATTATTTCAATAAACATTATTTTCTTCTTTTTCTCAGGGAAGACTCAGCACACAGAAGAGAAGAACCAGAGAGCACAATTACTGAACAGTATCCTGACCATTGAATGAGGAAGGACAAATCCACTGGAAGAAGATTCCTCTTAGGAATTGGGAAAGTAAGGAATCACCCAATGGGTGGCTGTAGATGTGGAGCACAATGGAGAACATATATACTAGGTTCTTTCTTAAAGAAGGGGCACTATGGGAAAAGTCAGCCATGGAAGAAGAAGATATTCTTAGTGAAGAAAATAAAAGCACAAAGTGAAAGGTAATTGGGACAACCTAATTAGGAAAAAAAATAATAGTGGAGCTAAATTAGAGAATGTGTTAGGAGAAGTAATGGGAAATATATGTGCGTTGTTGGGTTCTGCTAACTAGATTAATGAGAGTATGGCAGCAGTACTAAGACAGATCTCAGTAAAGAATAAGGAGTTCTCTCTCTCTCTCTCTCTCTCTCTCTCTCTCTCTCTCTCTCTCTCTCTGTGTGTGTGTGTGTGTGTGTGTGTGTGTGTATGTGCTCTTTCATTAAGAAAAGTATAATAATAAAACTTGGATTTTAGAGAATTTATAGACCTTAACCTGGCAATACAAGGTTAGACTGGGATAGGGCAGAGACCAGAATCAGGAAAACAAAGTAGGAGGTGGTTACAATAATCAGGACTTAAATTACTGAGAAATAAGATTAAGGGAACATGTAGTGGAAATGCTATATTAAAGGGACATATAAAAAATCTCGAAAGAGACAGAGTTTGGGCCAAGCAGAGGCCGCTTGGGAAATAATTCTGACTCCCATCGTCTTTGTCAGTTAGGCTTATAACATATTTTTATTTCCAAAAATCATTATATATAATTATATGCTTATTCATAAAGAAGAGTATGTGGCATAAGTAAGGTGGAAATGTTCAACTCCAGTGAATAAATATACACATCCGTGTCACCTCTTAAGACATAAGAGCTGCTTAGTATTGGCATTGTAAACTTATTGCACTATCTGAATGTGCTCGTTTGAAATGGCAAGTTTTGTTGGTCCTATTCCCTCAAGATTAAAAGACTTCTCTCAGAAGTCCCCAAAGACATGAACTATCTGGAGGAAAAACCATGCACAGAGCTCCCAGAAGTGCACATGTGCAAAAGAGCACCATTAGCAAAAGAGAGAGGGTTTGCCGCAACTTCCATGGGAATATGCAAGGATAAAAGTCATTGCTAAGGCAGCTAGGACTCAACTACCCAGGGACCCAATGCTTGGAGTAAACAATTCCTATAATATATGAAAACAAAATAAAGACGAATACAGATAGCAGCCTGTATTGATAATTTCCAGAAGGAAATTGAGACTTTGGAGACTCTCCTTGCAGTCAGCCACACGTCACTTAGGGGAAATCCAGTTTGATAACTGCAGAAGCCCAGGTTATCCTAACAAAAGAGACATCTGCAAAAGCATGGGTTAAAATCTCCATAGTAAAAGCAGATGGGAAATAACTGCATCTCACTGCAAGCGAGGTATTGAGTAATAAATTTAAAATAGTGATTATTCAACATTTTCAAAACGAATGTCTTTTTCTGAAGGTTCCACAGAGATCTTGACCCAAAATAGCAAGAGGAAATATTACTCATGCCACCAGGCTTGTGGGTTTTCAGTGACCTTTAGAGCTGAGGGCTCTTCCTCTGTATTTTACTGTAAGTCCATTTTTCTTTCTTGCACAGCCTGGTCCCAAAAGAAGATATTCCAAATCAGGTGATGCTGAGATTTTAAAAAGAAAATCCAACAAGGTTCTTAGAAGTCATTCTCAATAATTATTCTAAAAAAAAAAATCACAATGTTCCAATATAATGTCTCCTGCTTTTTGTGGGTGTGTGTGGGTTGTGCTTCCAAGTGTGAGTGTGCAAACACACAGGGCAATCTATCTCTTTTAGCTGGTTAATATATGGAACTCCAACATGACAGTGTCTGTGATAGTTGCTTATCTTCTAAAATAAAATTTATGGCAATATGTTTCCCTGAATAAAAAACATCTCATGCCGAAACCGGTTTGGCTCAGTGGATAGAGCGGACTAAAAGGTCCCAGGTTTGATTCCGGTCAAGGGCAAGTACCTTGGTTGTGGGCACATTCCCAGTAGCATGTGCAAGAGGCAGCTGATAGATGTCTCTCTCTCATCGATGTTTCTGGCTCTCTATCCCTCTCTCTTCCTCTCTGTAAAAAAAAAAAATCAATAAAATATATTTTAAAAATAAATAAATAAAATAAAAAGCATCTTATTTCCTATTGTCATCTTCTGTCCATTTTTCCTCAGTATACAACAAGATTTAAAGATAGAAAGGGAATGTGCTAGTGTCATTTTTAAGGCTGACAAAAAAGTGTAAATGTTGGGCTAACAGTTGTAATTGTATTTATTGACATTTCAGACTAACATTGGACTTCATTGAATTTTTTTAATCAATCTAAAACTTCTAGGTTATTGCAAGAGACCAATTATGACATTGAACCTTGGGAAGAATGCCTAACCATACTGTCACCTCAGCATAAAACAACAAGAAGAAGAGACCCTAAGTCTCTATCAATTCATTAGCAAGAAATCATTTTTTTAACATTTCCTATGGCTGGCACTGTGCAAAATAATCTGGAGGACATCTAAGTTAATAAGATATTGTCACCACTCTAGTGAAATTTATTATTTTACTTTTATCATTTTATTAAGTCTAAAAAGCTGTAATCCTAAGTGAAGCATCATGGACTAAAAACTCCAGCTTATTAGTGAAGCTGTGTTCCAGGCACCCAGGGGAAAGGGCTGAGAAAAGAACCTCCCTTTTCTCTCTGGTTCACCCAAACCCCCTCCCCTAAATACAAATGCATCTTGATATTTTTGCAAAGAATGTTCAGTCATTGATGAAAAAAATCACATCATAACCTCATAATGTTAATGATAAATGATTCTGGGATACACCAAAAAGTGGAAATTCATAATTTTATATGATGGGGGGGAAATGTACACTTCTACTCCTAAAAAAAACTTGGTCAGTTTTAGCCAGTCACTCTCTTAGGAGCCTTAGTAAAACCCATACCCTTTCAAAACCAGGGTATGTCCCCACCAAAAAGCTATGGGGTATATTTATTTGAAATAAAATTATAGAAAGTATCTAGACAGTTCATAATTGCTCTGGAACATCCAAGAATCTGTGCACTCAAGATACTAATGTGTATTTAATCTTGATATAAGAACAATAGGCAAAAAAGAGATTTATTCCAATTTTTGTGTTCTTTTGTGTTGCTATCAGAGTAAACACTATTTATGGGTGAGTATAATAAATAAACGAGTCAGTGGAAATCTGGTTCCTCAGGAGCAGGCCCTTTGCATTGTAAAAGCGATGCTACATGATTTGCACAAATCCTTGCATACCTACCTTTCCACAGCGCTCTATTATCATGACATGGCTTTGTAGGGATAAAATTCATAAAGTTTTGATTATGCTTATGTATCTGCAACTTAATATTTTTTGTGAGAAGCAAACAAAGCAGGGGTATGTATTTAATTTGGCAGCCTATTTCCTTCTTGTATGACTATGCAAAACCCCACCTGTTCAAACTTTGTACATGATCCACAAGAAAAACAGCACTGACATGGTAATGGACTAATTATATCCTAGCATTTTCTGGTTAGGCACGTTCACAAATCCCAAATTGAATAATTTACTGCCACAGGTAGCTATGTCTGTTTCTTAGGAAAATATTGATTCACTACCTAACAAGAACTTTATGCTTCAAATAAACAACAACAACAAAAAATTATACAACATAATCTCTGTACCCGAGCTTGCAGATCTTCAAGAAGTACTTGGTACCGATGGTGGTGGTTGAAAGGCATGGAACATATTTAGATGTATTTACTCTTTTTTTTTTTTTTTCAGGAAGAACCAAATTACCTACTGTTTCAAAGAACGTTGCTTTTTATTCCCTTGATACCAAATCAATAAAAGTCCTTCCAGAACAACAGCTGTCGCTTAATGGCCACAAGGAGTCAATGCACTACCCAAATTGAACACAGTTCTGTGTCTACACCAAGTGGGTCCTCAATTAAAGTTGATGGATTGACTTTCTCGGGAGCAGTAAAAGCTCAATTTATGGAGATGCATCCTGTGAGACTGAAATCAATAATTTAAGAGCACTGTGTGTTGAATTCTATGTGACAATACAATCATATGTGTAACTATAAGAACTACATCTTTTCCTTCTTTTAAAGTTGTTTTCTAGTTAATCAACAGATACTGAGATTCTCAATAATGTTGTGTCATCATCTAGTCACAATGAGACTATAAATTTGGATGAATGAATATAAATAACCTGATAGTAATATTAAATTAATTATGAAGAATTTGGAGACTCAAATATCTGAAGATAAGATGCAAGCTTGTTGTTTAGTTATCAGAGATTAAAATCACAGTAATAAATATTGCCTGTTAGGGTGAAACATTTTGTTTGAGATGCTCATTGCATATTATCTTTAGTATAGAGATTTTGACAACTTTCTACATTATCATATGCCATTGTCTAAGGAAGATGAACAGATTTTTAAAGATGAACCAGAAATAGCCATTTAATTTGATCAGATGACACCCTTAGGTCAGGTGACAGCTCAGAAAGCATCTCTTTAGTCAAAGTAGAATCTTTGAGCATTGAGAGAATGGTCTGTTGGGTACTTTAGCAGAGAACTCCTTTGCATCCTACACTCAAACCAGAACTGTGCTCTACATCTGGAAAAGTTTGAGCAAATCATCCGACGTGATGGGAAGTGGAATTAGTTCAGAGAGTAAGGAGTCAGCCAAAAGGTCAAAAGAACTGGAGAAAAAGCTTCAGGAAGATGCTGAGCGAGATGCAAGAACTGTAAAGTTGTTGTTATTAGGTAATCTTTTAAATCCTTTTGCTTTCAGACCCCTGATGTTTTCTTCAATTGTGTTGCATTTACTTTCCTGAAGTTTAATTTTAAGTGTATTACCTTATGGGATATTTATTATGAAAATGTGGAAACAAATAGACTTTATGTGCACTTTGTATATATTTACTCATTTTTATTTACTATTTTATTATGTTTTTATTAAGTAGAGAGAAAATAGTAGATGACTCAATTTCTCTGTCAATAATACAATTTATTATAATTAAGAGAAAACTCATATACATTTATTATTTTATTGCTTCCTATCCTAGCTCAATATCTGCTTTTTAATAGTGAAAACAATCTTTTAATTAAAAGTTATAAAGGTTTATGTTATTTTGTTTGAACAGAAATACATTGTTTGATATTCAAGTTAATGTTATTTAATTGTGCTGCTAAAACCAATTAGTCTGAAGTTATATAAAGAGTAATGATAAGGTACTTAACATTATACTAATAACATTATTCAGGCTTCTGAACACAAACTGTGATATTGTCTGAAATATGCTCCATTTAAATCCTTTTAGGATACTTATATATTCATTCAGGTAAGGAATTAGATCTCTTCCGTGTTTTCATTCCCTTAAAACTCAGCACAATATTTTACACCAGCTATAAATTCAATCATTTTTTTGATGAATTGAAAGATAAAAAAAATGACCTACATGTCACACATTTTTCTAAAAGACTCACTTGATCACTGGAAGACAAATACGTTTTTGAATTAAAAATAAAGACATATAAAAGGATAGGAAAACAAGAGCTTTAATTTAATCATAGTTATATGTTCCTCCTGCTTCTCGTTACACACAAAAGGATTTCATTTCAGAATTGTGAAATTCCACACCAAAGGTCCTCATACTTTATTGAACTTATTGGAGTGACATTGGTTAATAGGTTTCAAGTAGACATTCCGATGATACTTGCGTTGTATACTGCATTGGGTGCCCACCACTCAAAGTCAAAACAGCTGCCATCACCATATATGTGTCCCCCTATATCCTTTACCACTCTCCCAGCCCCTTCCTCTGGAGACCACCACACTGTTGCCTAACTAGGAGGTCCAGTTTTATATTCCACATGTGAGTGACATGACATAGCGTTTAGCTTTTACTGAATGATACACGTTGCTTAGCATAATAGTCTCTCTTTTATAAAGTGACCTTTTGCTCCCAGTGGCAAGTGTCTCAGAAGCCAGCTGTGGAATTCCCAGAGTTTGTTCCTCAAAGGAAAGGACATAGTCTCTCCTTCACACACAAGTGCCATGGCTGCACACCAGTCCACGGCATTGGCAAGTAACCACCTACAGGTTGGTCAATTAAAGGATGTTGGGGCCAGCTCTTATGAAACCAGCAAACATACTTTCCCCCAAACTCCAAAGTATTCTATCATAAGAGGCTTTGGTCAAGAGTGAAAGTAATATGGACAGAGAAAAAGTAAAGAAAAGGTGAGAGGGAAAGCCAAGCATTCCTACAAACATTGTTTGTGTGTTTCTCCCGCCCCCGCCACCCCCCTTTCAGATCTAATACCTTTGCTTCTTTATTTTTTATGTGTTTATATTGTCAATACAACACTGTATTTTTTCAATGCTGGCATCTGAGTTTTATTATTTTAAAATATCTTTCCAATTTTCTGGCTCTTAGAAACATAAACCTATATGGAGTCTAAAGGTTTTTAAGAACTTTAAAGCTCATCTACTTTAAATGAGCTTATATTAGCTAAGTTAATCAATATTTTCAAAATTTCCAGAAGGTTGCACTTACTAAAAAATGTATATTTTGACTCGGTCAGTGTGGCTCAGTGGTTGAGCATGGATCTATGAACCAGGAGATTACGGTTCAATTCCTGGTCAGGGCACATGCCCAGGTTGAGGACTCAATCCCCACGGTGGGGGAGGTTTGTGGAAGACAGCCAGTCAATGCTTCTCTCTCATGATTGATGTTTTTCCCCCCTCCCTCCCTTCCTCTCTGAAATCAATACAAATATTAAAAAAAAAGAAAGAAAGAAAGAAAGAATGGCAGATGGCAGCATCAAATAGCTTACTATAATGTCCCTTTTCCCCAACAGGCAAAAAGCACTTAGGCAAATGTTTTGCATGTATTTGATTGCTTGTTTGAAACCAATTTATCTCTAATAATCAGGACAGCTTAAACATTGACTCACAAGTTTCTCACATAAAATATGTAAACCATTTATTAAGGTATACCATATTTTAGCCAAATAATGATATTTGCTAATGAGATTAAATATCCTGTCTCTCTAGGAATGACTCTTATTAACTATAATTTAATAGAACATTTTTATATAGTAATATCATAGAGCGTTTTTATATTTACTTTTTCATTCAAACCCTGAACTATTGATTGAAGAATATGTACTTTTTAAAACCATTTAACAACATGATCAGCCAACCAAAAGTTTTATACCCCTCCAAACTGTTAGGAGAAAAGGAGGACAGTGAAATCTTTACTTGTGCAGAGACCCCATGTTCTACTTAAAATAAAATAAAATATGCTTCCATGTAAAACTTTAGACTTAAATTCAGAACCCATCTCCTATTTAAGTTTCCTCCAAATACTGACTCATAAATACATCAAATAGATTTTGAACCCAGAGAAATAGGATTCAAGATAAAACTGAGGGTGAGACTCATCAAAGTACAATGATATTCATTTTATTTATTAGGTCCCAATAAATAACAAAGTAGAAGACCTGGGTTTAATTCCAGCCTCAATGTTTTATATTCAAATAGAATAAATTTGCTATTTAGAATTGTTCCCCCTTTAATATATCTGGACATGTCACTCTCTGACCATAATTTTATATTCTTCTGGAGGTTTGGTGAACAAATTTATGCACAGGTGGGGTCCGGCCAGCACAACCCGATGGGGCCCGTGGGGGAAGGGGATGTTGGAGGTTGGCTAGCCCCACCCTTAAAAGGGGGGGGGGGATAATTGGAGATGGGGATGGCCCAGTGGAGGGGGGCTGCAGGCGGTTAGCTAGCTGGCCCTGCCCCCAATCGGGTGTGTGGGGGGGGCTGATTAAGTGCCAGGCCAGCCAGGAGTAGAGCTGCCACAATGTGAGTAGTAGCGACCTGTCGTTCTGATCATTCCAGTTGGTCCATCATTCAGGTCACTTGGCTTTTATATATATTGATTCTCTCTCATACTTTTTCACATTTTGTGAATTAGTTCTTTGATTTCATTATGTTTCCCTACAATCAAAGTCACCTTTATTAGCTATGTTCCTCCTAAAATTCTGAAATACTCTGTCCCCTTAATCTTTTACCTTAACTTACATCAAAACTTCAACCCTGCATGCCCCCTCTAAGGCTCTCCATTTACCATTGTTCTGACACTATTTCCAATAACTTTCTCCACAGTGATGCTATTTAATAACTTTTCAAACCTTCCGGCTGATCTAACACCTCTCCCAGGTAAAATCCTAATTCCCTTCATTTCCAAGTGTTGTAGTATAAAATGACAGGTCATTTTCAGTTTCCTGGCTGACAAGTTGCTGTTTTCAACTTTACCTGGGCCAATAATCATTTTACTTGTTCCTACTTTTCTACTGAATTACTCCATCTGGCAGCTGTGTCTGCATTCCCAGCTTCACTGTCATCCAGAACCTCCTCCTTTCCACCTCAGCCTCAGTGGTTACCCAGGTACAAGGTACTGATCCATCATCTACTCTTACCAGTTTTAAGAAAATAGTAGTATTTCATTTTCATTTAAGACCAAGGTTTGTCTTTGGACTTTAGTATTTTTCAGTTTGTACTCTTTCTTGAAGACCTCGTATCAGGGCTTAACTATTACTTATTGAAGAATGACTCTAACATCCATTCTTTTGTTCAATTTCCATCCCTGGTGGGGGACATGCAGGAGGTAGCCAATCCATGTCTAGCTCTTACACCAATGTCTCTCTCTCTCTCTTTCTCTCTCTCTCTCTCTCTCTTCCTTCCTTTCTCTCTAAAAATCAATCAAAATATCTTTTAAAAAAATCATAACAGACTTGGTAAAATAAGGCAGTTGACTGCCATGATAACAAAAAACATATTTCTATGTATATTAGTTTTCTAATTTTTGGATTTTTCCTGGAATATTTTTCAATTGCTTTAGTTTGCTATCTTGAAATCTGTCCAAAATTAACAGGCAAACTGAGACTTTAAAAATATGCTTGGACTCAATTTCTGGGACTGTCAGTAATAAATCAAATTTTGACTCTCTAAATGATAGATAAATTAGTATGAGAAGACTAAAAATTTACTCATTGGTACTTTAGATCAGGCAGTGGGTCAATATATTTTAATATCACATTTCCATTGATAAATGTTAGTCGTAACCCACGGGCATATTCTAACATATATCATTTCATATAATTATAAAATACTGAGTGTTCCTCAATATTTCAGAAATTTATTGGTGATTCTATCTAAAATTTTGTAAGCAAATCTGAACTATCAGATTTTACCAGCTCTTGTCGATGGATATTGTGGTACATAAAAAGGTAAAGTCTGTGGTGAATGAACAGCTAAATTGAGGTCAGGCTTGCTTTTGTAGCTTGGAATAAATTATTTGAGAAAAAAAAAAACCCCTAGAACTTTCAAACTTCAAGAAGTTTCCTGAATTTGCTCCTCTCTCCCTACCCTAACCCTCACATGTTTAGGACTCATAGAAAAATAAAAACCAAAAAGTTTGGTTATATTCTATTTATACCCTATATATTATAATAATATTTTTAAAATTCTTTTATCATTTTCACTCTCAAGTAATATTCAGTTTTGGTCTCTTTTCATGAGTCAGCCATCCTTATATTGTTAACTAGAGGCCCAGAGCATGAAATCATGTGCGGGTAGGTTTCCTAGACCTAGCCTGCACTCAGGGCCATCTTCTTCCTGCTTTCCAGTCCCCAGTCCTGCCCTACCCCGCTGCCACCCACCCTGGTTCCCTGTGGTTCCCTGTTCGCCATCCAGCGATTGCAGCTGTAGCCAGAGGGAGGACCAAGAGGTCTGCCTTCTGCCTGCTTGCCCATCCCAAGTCCCTCCCTGCTGCCACTCACCCTGGTTCCCCATGTTTCCCCATTGGCCATCCAGCAATCGGAGCCTGTGGGCAGGGGGAGGGACCTCTAGGAGGTCAATGCACCTCATAGCGACTGGTCGATAGGACGTTCTGGTCGATATCTCATTATGATCGCTAGCCTTTTATTACATAAGATAATTTTAAACATCCTTATAGGAGTCCTCTTGAGTCCCCCTTGTATTTATTCTACTGTTTAAAATACAACTTCTCTGTAGGCCTTTTAATTCACTTACTATTTCTCTTCTGTTTTCTTTGTTTAAACAGAAGAGAAAGTGCCCCTGTAGTGACATAAATATGATATGAAGACAAGAGCCCTTTCTTTAATCACAATAGGCTTTGAATAATTCTGGAAATAAAAAAAGTTATTTCTTAGTTTTTTGTGTGTGTAGTTTTTGTTGTTATTATTCAATCCAATAGGATATATACAGACACATTCTGGGAGAATGAAAGTGATCTAGAAACTATAAAGATTGGAACATTTCTTTAAAATACAAAGCCAAGAGATATAATCTTTCTAATGTATGTTCAAATATGATAATGGGATTTTTCCCCCTAATGACATGTAATTCTTGCTTTAGAATATACATTCTACCTTGAAACCAAACTATATCTGTATCTATCATGAATGTAAGTGGGTTTCATTTCCCTCTGCTATCCTGGAAAGTAGACACCTAATACCTTTCAAGAAAAATTATCCTGCTTTTTACACAGGAGAGCTGTCTGTTAAGGATTTGCCGGTGAGATAGTGATGTCTCAGGTTTTAATCTGTATATGAATTTGATGTATATATATCAGTTGATAACACTCCCATCTTTCTTTTCAGGAGCAGGAGAATCTGGAAAAAGTACTATTGTTAAACAAATGAAGTGAGTATGTACTATTTTAAATGTTTACTATTTAATATATGTCCATCTATTTGACCATTTTAAAAATAAATACCTCTGGGAAATGTGATTGATAATCTAAATCTACGATTTTCAACAGATGTGCCATGGCACACTGGTGTGTCACAAGCATTTTAAAACATGCAACACCTGACTATTTAGTCAGGGGCTCTGACCTCTTTTCCCTTAGATTGTCAAATAAAAAATAAATAACAACAGCCAACATAATAGTTATCCAGTGTGAATGCCCTGTATGAACCATAAACATAGAGCTGCATCATATTGGTTACATCATATAGTAACATAGCATCTGATTGGTTAATTCTTGGTACCAGAAATCCTTATGTACAAGAATAGGCACCTGCTTTTTTATTTTATTTTATTTTTTATTCTTGTTAATCCTCACACAAGGATATTTAGACATAGATGTGAGAGAAACATCAATTGGTTGCCTCCCACAGGCGCTCCAAGGGGGGAAATGAACCTGCAATCCTGGTATGTACGCTTGACCAGGAATCAAACCTTTAACCCTTTGGTGTGCAGGCCGATGTCCGACCACGGAGCTGCAGTGGCCAGGCCAGCACCTAATTTTTTAAAAAAGTCACTTTGGAGCAAAAAGTGTAGGTAATTACTACTATTAATACTTCTTTGTAAATATATCAAAATTATATCTATTTTTGTAAGATTGGCAAAAATATATAAATATAACTTTTTTTGGTGTGCTGCAGAATTTTAGAATGTTCCAGGGTGATAGAGATGTTATATAGCTGTACTCTTCACCACGGTAGCTCCTAGCCACCTGGAGGTATTAAGTACTTCATTGGAGCTAGTGTGATTGAGGAGTTAATTTTAAAAAAAAATATATTTTATTGATTTTTTACAGAGAGGAAGGGAGAGAGATAGAGAGCTAGAAACGTCAATGAGAGAGAAACATCGACCAGCTGCCTCTTGCACACCCCCTACCGGGGATGTGCCTGCAACCAAGGTACATGCCCTTGACCGGAATCGAACCTGGGACCTTTCAGTCCGCAGACCGACGCTCTACCACTGAGCCAAACTGGTGTCGGCTTAATTTTTAATATAGTTAAATTTGAATTAATGTGTCTAGTGACTAGTCTATTTTTGGGGGGGAGGGAGAGAAGAGGTACTTGTTTAATTTATTCATTTTCTTCAGTGCATAATGTAATATGCTACAGAAAATGCCCAACAAAAGCTTATTACATTGAACAGAGCTAGGAATTAACTTGCAGGCAGAGAGCTCTGCTCCACAGAAATACATTTGTGCAGCTCCTAAAAATTACTTCAAGTCCCACTGCAACTGGGTTTTTTAAGGTCTGTTTTTGTCATTTGCTTTGTGAGAGATGTTTCCTTTTTCAATGGTGAAAGGAAAGAGATCAGTACTTGTGCCAGGAAGAAAATCTAAATGACCCCTATTTGTATTTGGCATTCTGATTTAATAATTAAAATAATTTTTGACTAAGAACTGGAATTTCTTTAGTAAACTTATTCCTAAAATATCCATAAAAATATTTTACCACATTTTCTATAGCCTTTAATTGACTACTTGATTTGCTTTAATTGTTTAATATGTCAAGATATACATGGCCATATTTACATTACAAATACAGCAATTATTGGCAATAAAATATTAAAAGTAGAAATAGATGTAGGTACTGTCTCTACTCCTTTTACTGCAGAATCCATTTGAAGATTTTAATATCTTGTGAGAGATTGTGTTCTTATCCCCCCTATGCTAAAATCTTTAGGTAAATGGACACAGCACAAATCTTTAATATCATGACATCCAAAATAATGCCTAATGAGCACAAAGCATTTTCCAAACAATAAGGAAGAAAAAAAAAAAAAAAAAACACAAACAGCTAAAAGAAACAAGAACATTTTATATAATAAAGATGCAATAAAGTAATTAGCATATGCAAAGATGTTAGCTTTTTTTTAATAGGTAAATCTATTTCAATCTATTTCTAAAACTATTGTAATATTTTTGAGTTCTGATTGAATTAGTGGAAGGAAAAGAAGAGTTCAGCCAAACTAAATGTCTGGGCATTTCAGCTTTGAGTACTCAGTGGCACGCATACACATGTAATGTTGCAGGAATTTAAGAGCCAGGAATTACCTACATTTAAAAAATAGTTGCCTTTGTTATTGCTATAAATAGAAAGCACGTACTCCTATTTTTTAGCGTGTCTTAAGTGAGAGGAAAAGACATAAATTTTATACTAAATTATTCCTTTTCCTCTTATCATGTGTCAACACTACTTATGCAACTTTGTCCTGGGGATCTGGGAGCTTTTTCTTTTGAAAAGAAATAAGCTTTCTAAATAAAAGGTTCATGATTTTCCCACTTTTAGTAGCGCTTTATCTAGAGCAAATCCTAAGTTGTCTTTATGCTTAGCATTAGCAATTCAGAAAGAAAATATTGTCTTAAACCCAAATGATAATAAAAATTTTTAAAAAATTGTTCAGATGTAGCATATATGTATGGACAAAATCCTTCCTTTTTCAATAAATCTATACTTTAATCTTATTCAAGCAAATTATTATTGTGTTTTAGTATTTAAAAAAATCAATTGTTTGACTCACAAAAGCTTTTCATGCTTAAATTATAGGATCATCCATAAGAACGGTTACAGTGAGCAAGAATGCATGGAGTTCAAAGCAGTAGTTTACAGTAATACATTGCAATCTATCCTAGCTATTGTGAAAGCCATGACCACTCTCGGGATTGATTATGAAAATGCCAGAAGTGCAGTAAGTATGATAATACTCACAGTTTTATATCCTACAATGGAGCATGAGCAATAAAACAGTAGGACTTAATAAACTTATAATACTAATTATACCAAAAGTTTAAGAATATGAAATGTGAATTTTGAAAACATTAATTCTGTTTAATGTAAGATTTTCTATTTTCTTTTAAATGCAATCTTTCTTTTATAATCCTATTCAACATTAGCTATACCTAGAAGTAAAACCTAATATCCAATAATAAACTATATTAGAGAAAAATACTGTTTATATTTGCTAAACACAAAAGAGTTTATTCCACAAAATCAAACTGCAAGATATTTGTATTTATTTTCTTAGTTTCATTGGGAGTCATTTCATGGAGACTTTATTTGTAATAAAAGTACTGCAATTATTATTGTTCAGTGATCATTACAAAGACGTAGTGGCATGGAACCAATTATTTAATAATGTTATTTTTAAAAAGAATTCAAAATTATGTGGGTTAAAATGTTTCTATATTAAATATACTCAAGGAGTCAGATTTGTTATTCAAGATAGCAACTAAGTAGTTTCATTCTTTTATTTTCTATTTTGTAATGTAATTATTTACTGTTAAAGTACATTTAAAATCAACTTGTTTTAAAACAGGTTGTGCCGTAAGCATATAAAGCCATTTTCATTGACAAACTAAGCACGTCGTATCTAAAGAACAATAGTCAGCCACACCCAAAGGAGGGAGTAACTGTGTACAATTCTTAGGGAGAACTCACCCACTTCCCTATCCCCTCCGGGAGCATCTGGTTTCATCCGATATCAATTGAATTGTTCCCAAAGTAATTCTTAGATTCCTTGATATGTGAAAAATAAAAACAGAGAAGAACAGTATAGTAAGTACAAAGGAAAAAAGTGACATTTATGCCTTTCCCCATTTGACCAGTAGTTTTAGATCGTGTAAATGACCATTGGAAGCCATAGGGATGAAAAGAAAAATATTGAATGCTATTATCTTTTTTCCCCTATTTTTCTTAAGGCATAACTGACATACACTATTACACGTGTTTTAGGTGTACGGCATAATTTTTTCAACATGTATGTATCTTATGACGTGATCACTGCAATTTATCTAGTAACTGCCAAAGTTAATTTGATACTTTAGATGATATCCCCTGTGCTGTACATTGCATCCTGGTGATTGCAGCTAGAAGTTTGTACCTCTTATTCCCTTTCACCCTAGTACTTCTCCCCACATAGAGTGAAATCATAACCAATTTATCTTTCTCTGGCTTATTTCACTCTAAGTTCATCCATATTGTTGCAAATGGTAAGGTTTCATTTTTTATGACTGGGTAATATTCCATTGTACATATGCGTGCAGATGTATATGTTTTATATATATATGTGTGTATGTGCATAAAAAAAAACAACTGTTTTATTCATTTTTCTATTTCTGAATACTCATGTTGCTTCCATATCTTGGCTATTGTGAATAATGCTGCAATGAACGTAAGGATGCATATATCTTTTTGAATTAGTGTTTTTTGTTTTCTTCTTGATAGCTACTCAGTAGTGAGCTTCCTGAATCATATGGTAGTTCTATTTTTTGGTTTTCTGAGGAACCTCATACTACTAATTTTAAAAAATATAGCTCTGCCTCTTCCTGACAATTAGCATGGAAGTGTCATTGGGGAAAATACTTTGTAAAGCAGAGTCAGGAGTTCTGTCTGGAGACGCTCCTTCCTTTTCAGCTTACCTCACAACCTGGTTCCAGTAAGTCCCCTACTTCTCTAGGTTACAGTTTTTCTCCTTCATGTAAAAGGGAAACTTGCAAGAACTGAACTCCAAATATCCTTCCTCTTTTTATCACCCTGAGATGTAGTGACCGCACTGTTTTTCAAGGGTAGTTGAGTTTTCACTCTCACTGTCTTTTTCCTACAAACAAACCTAGGATGTTGAACTGCCCTTAAAAGACAATCTGAACTAACCCTCTTACTTAAAGATGTAAAAAAAAAAAAAAAGTGTCACAAAGGGTTGGCTTCCTTCAATTGCTGGAGCTAAGAGCAAAACCCACTTCCCCTGGATTCTATTAGGGTATTTCTTCCTATGCAAGGTATTTTGTAAAAACACTTGTAATGATTATCGATACTTTCCTTCTTCTAAGCTGTAATAATTCCTGAAAAAGGTGTTCTTTCTGCATTCATTTGAGAATAATTTACTGTTTTAATTTGCATGTGTAATATTCCTTATGTTAGCATCACTGAAGTTGGAAATCACAACCTTGCCTATTGCTACTTATTTAAATACTAGTGGCCCAGTGCATGAATTCTTACCTCTTAAAAGGAACTATGGGTTGCATGAAGCTGTGGTGGGCACAGGAGCAGGTCTTTGCCCATCCTCCACACCCCTGTCCAGCCCCTCCTGCCATGGCCCCCAGTCCCCTGTCTGCTGGCAACCCCATTCCCACTGCCTCTGCTCCCACGTGCTGATGGTGGAACCTATCTCGCCCACTGACTGCATGAAGTGAATGGGGCCAGCGCCAGCAGCAGGCCCGATCACCCTTCAGGAGCAGGAGGAGGTGGAGAGGCCCTCAGGAACAATTGGGGTCGGCAGCTGCCACTCGCACCCACTGACAGCACTGAGCTATTGGAACCAGCACCCAGCACTGGCAGCAGGTGCGAGTGCTGGGTGGGACCATGGCATTCGGGAACAAAGAATTTTCAGTAACCACCAGAGGCTCACCCTGATGACAGCGACTGGCGCTCCACCTTGGTCTGGCGCCCCCATTCACCTGCTCCACCATCCTGCCATGGCCAATGCTTGTCATGTTCTGTGCCCGCCCCTTGGTGGTAAGCACACAACATAGCAACCAGTGGTTCGGTTGTTTCCCCATTTGGTCTGTTTGCATATTAGGGTTTCTTGTAGAGAGATATTGTGTGCTTACTATAGCTCAGTGTTTGCAAAAAGGTGATGCCAGCACCTGAAATCTGTGGGTTAAAAGTCTTAATGATCTGACACTCATATTGAATGAAGATAATAGATTCTGTACAATGCTGCCATTATGCTTACTAAAATTTAAAAGAGATGTAATTTATTCAAAATGTGCATTGAATGAGAAGAAAAACAGATTAATTTAAGCAGCACTAAGCAACTGGCACAACTTCTCAGGAGGACCTATGTTCTCAAGTATCAAGCATCACCATTGTCAGGCACTGCACAGCTCAGATTTTTATTTAAACTAGCATAAATGATAGCCTTTTCAATCACAATCATTCGTATTTGATTTTAGGATTAATGCATTTTCTGCACCTGACTTAAACTGTGTACTCAACAGATTAATTGTTAAGCACTTTACTTATGTATACAATTCAGGGTTCTGATTTCCTATGGCTTTATCTTTGTTTGTTTGTTTATTCTTACATAGCCATTGCACATTATCACACAAATTGCCATTCAAAGAGGAAAAGAGTCTTAACCAAAAATTTATATGAGTTTTTTGGTTACTGGTTTCTTAAGTTTAGAACAGTTACTTAGTTGCTTTTCTATTTTCCTTTCTCTTTTCCTCTTTTTTTTTTTTTCATTGTTTTAACTTTGCCCTATTAATTTGCCCCCAAAGGCATACAATTAACAACACTACATTGGATGTTCAAAATATTGAGTATATTAAATTGTTTACCATTAGTAATATTATTACAAAGAGGCACCTGGTGGCAAATAATATTGTATATCAATTTTTAAGTATGATTTTAGAATATTAAGTTTTATTTTCAATTTCTCTAATTCTTATTTGATATTTTTATTTCCTAGGGGGGAAAAATGTGGCCATTATCAAATGAACATTATGTGCCAATTTAGCTCCAATCCATTACCCTTTTATGAGCATCTGACCATCTAAGAGCTCAATGGACTTATACCAAGCAATTGTTATCCCTTTTTACATCATAATCAAAACTTAATGATTTATAGCAAAATATATATCAAAATAGCCTGCCTTTTTTATTATAATATTTAAATCTATTAATTTTTGCAATAGAGAACTCTTTTGGGTATTATCCAGTGATCATAAGGTACTTTAGATATATATTGTTTACATGTTCAATGGAATTATTACCTAAGGAAATAATATAAAATCATCCAGTTTAAATGTTCTATTTTTAAAAAAAAGAATATGTGATTTTAAATTATGACAAATTTTTATTCTTTTCATAAAAACATTGCCATAGGAAGACCAAAGACAACTCTATGCGATGGCCAATACCCTGGAAGATGGGGGGATGACGCAGGACCTGGCGGAGGTGATAAAGCGGCTGTGGAGAGATCCGGGGATTCAGGCCTGCTTTGAAAGGTCAGCTGAGTATCAGCTCAACGATTCGGCAGCTTAGTAAGTGAATACATTTTCACAGGAATTGTAGTGGAAATATTTACAATTAAGAATTATAACTGTATACTCACTCATACTCACAAATAAGAAAAATAAATGGCTTTTCATTTTATTATACTAAAATAAAAAGTAATTCAAGAGAAATAAAAAAAGATCAAAATAATATAAATGAAATGTAAAAAAATATAACCAGGGAAGCATCCTATATAATAAAACCCTAATATGCAAATCAAACAAACAGCAAATGACAGGTCGCTATGACTCACACTGACCACCCAGGGACAGATGTTCAATGCAGTAGTTGCCCCCGGGTGGTCAGTGCACTTGCACAGGGGGAGCACTGCTCAGCCGAAGCCAGACTCACAGCTGACAAGCGCCGAGCTAAGGGACAGCAAACCGAGCGGTAAAGAACAGTGAGCAGGTGGGCAGTTAGGAGTGAGGGATCCTGGACTGCTAGAGGGATGTCTGACCTCTGTCTTAGGCCTGACCCTGGGGAGATGGCCTTATACCAAGTCAATGGACTTATACCAAGCAATTGTTATCCCTTTTCACATCATAATCAAAACTTAATGATTGATAGCAAATAGGACATCTCCTAAGGGGTCCCGGACTGCGAGCAGGCACAAGCCAGGCTGAGCCCCCTTCTTGCACCCCCCTCAGTGCACAAATATCGTGAACCAGGCCTCTAGTTTTAAATAACTCATTTTGAAATTATTTTCCTGAGAAGACCTTTATGTTTTAAATATGTTCTCCAACCAGCTGGTGTGGCTCAGTGGTTGAATGTTGAGCTATGAACCAGGAGGTCACTGTTGGATTCCAGGTCAAGGCACATGCCTTATTATACTTGTAGCACTTGCAGCTACCAAGATTATTAGCTGATAATAGCAAGCAGAAGTTTAAGGGGGAAAAGCTCGATTCCTTAAGAAAGCATTTAATCTCTGACCTACCCTAGAACTACTCTATAACTGGACTACTGCAGTTATGTAAGATTAAAAATAAAAATAAAATTCTTGTGCCCAAGCTGGTTTGGCTCAGTGGATAGAGCATTGGCCTGTGGACTGAAAAGTCCCTGGTTCAATTCCAGTAAGGGGCACATGCCAGCGGGGGGTGTGCAGGAGGCAGCCCATCAATGGTTCTCTCTAATCATTTATGTTTCTATCTTTCTATCCTTCTCCCTTTCTCTCTGAAATCAATAAATATATAAATGTATATGCATATTTAAAAAAGACAAATGGCTACTAATTTATTAATAAATAAATAGACAGATAGGTAGATAAACATTTTTTTTATTCAAAGTAAAAAGAATTAATTATTTTGCATCATAATTAACATAAACACAGCATGGTGACATGCACACTAAAGTTGGGCTATTCATTTTTTCTCTATTCATGTTATTGAAGTCATGGTCTGCAGTAATCTGATTAATGAACATGCTTTGATTCAAAGAGTTCTAGAAAAACTAGTGTATTGATATTCACAACACTTGTACATTATGGGATTCTATTTTGAGTCTCAAGAAAGACTACATATAATTTTCACAGCTATCACCCAGTTTGCAATTATCAGCTATAAGAAAGGAAGTTGTGACACTATAATTTCACTAGAGGCCTGATGCACGAACTCATGCACCAGTGGGGTCCCTCGGCCTGGCCTTCGGGATTAGACTGAAACCAGTTCTCTGACATACGCAAAGGGGCCACAGATGGTGAGAAGGTGCAGGCCAGGCCGACAGACCCCACCAGTGCACAATCAGGGCCAGGGAAGGAACCAGAAGGTTGGCCAATGGGGAGGGAGTGTGGGAGGGTTCCAGGGCACGTCCAGCCCATCTCACTCAGTCCTGATCAGCCAGACCCCAGCAGCAAGCTAACCTACTGGTTGGAGTGTCTGTCCCCTGGTGGTCAGTGCATGTCATAGCGAGAGGTTGAGAGTCCTTAGCATATCATTAGCATATTACACTTTGATTGGTTGGTCGCCTGGTTAACCAGATACTTAGCCTATTAGGCTTTTATTATATAGGATTATGAAAATGACTTTAGGTTTCTATTTTAGTAACTGGTTTTTATCTTACCTCAAGGTCATATGCCTATAAGTATGTGTGTGCATGTATGTAAATATAGTTTCATTACATATTCTATATTTCTGTCCATGCATATTAATGTATAAAGATATAAATAGAGTCTTTTTGGTGACCCCCAAACACAACATGCCAAGAATAAGGAAAAAAAACAACAACAGTAATGTGAAAATGAAACAAATGAAAGATTATTTGAGGACAGGACAATAAAACTTGCATGATCTACAGATTTTTAATCATGATGGGCAGAAGGATTATGGAGAGAGAAACAAATTCTAGGAAAAGATAACAGTCTCCTGTGATTATTCATTTATATTAATTTTAAATCCCAAACCCAATGGATACATTGCCCTTTACCAACTCTTGTCTCAGTGATGAGGTAGAGAATGAACATCATCCTACGATTATATAAGCTTAAATAACTGCTTTTATAAGTGTCTCAGTACATAATCACATTTTAATACTAAGAGCGTTGTCAGTAGTATAGAAAAATATTTGGCTTTTCTATATGAATCATTGATAAAAAGCAGTCAAAATTAATAAGAAACTGAAATATGGAATATTTTCATTAAAACTGATTAGCAAAGTTCAAAAAAGGGAGGAAGAAAAAGTTAGTTAAATAAATAAGTGATTGAAATCTGTTATTAGTTTTAGATACATATTATTGTTTAACATAATTTCCCTTAAAATGTATTTACAATTATATTATCATATGTTTACCAAGTTCTTTGCTCTTGAATAGCAAAAGGAATGTACATATTATAGACAAAAAGGGCAGACAAAATTACATTTTATTGTATTTTCTAATTGTTTTCTTTATTTTGACACATAAAATGTGGTTTATACTGGGACTATCACAATATGGATTCATATTAAGAGCAATGTATCTGTTCTTCAAGTTAAACACATGTACATAATATCTAATTGCAGTAGAATAACAGCAGGAAAGATGATTCCACCCACATAATACACCCCATGTCTAAAAATAATTTTAGATAAAATCAAGACGAATGAAATATTAACATTTTTCTTCTTCGGGATCTTTTAAAGCAGTGTATCCCAAAGTGTAATACGCCTATCCCCAGGGGCACAGGAAGAGTTTGGTGGGGGTATGCACTGCACCGTGCTTAGCTGCACCTAATTCTACGTTCTCATGAATACGAGGGGTACTCAGCGTTACGAAAATTATAGAAGGGGTACACATATGTCAAAAGTTTGGGAAACACTGCTTTAAAGAATGATTAAGTAAAAACTTGCTAAGAAAAATAGCTGAATGGCTACGGTTTTCTTCCAAAAATTAACAGATTTTCCTAAAATACTGAATGACGGTCCATTTTTCAAAACTCGTTAATATAATATCAAATCAGGACCATATTCATGTCTATTTCAGTTGCATTATATAAAGCAATGGTCTCTTTCTCTTCCTCTCTCTCCCTCTTCTTTCTTCTCTTTTATTTCCTTTCCTCCTCTCTTTTCTTCGTCCCTCCCTCCATCTTTTTCTCCCCCTTCTTCCCTCCTTTCTTCCCTTCCTTTCTTTCCTTACTCTTTCTGTCTTTTTTTTGTGTGTGAAAGAGAAATGTTTGTTATCCTCTCAAACATAGATACCCTTCAAGATGAAGCTAACAGAGACGAGTGCTAGCAGTGTAAGAGAAAAGAATACTGTTTGTTGGCAACATAGCACTTTCCCGCTATCACTACCAGCACACTGAAGGAAAAGCATCATGACTTTGGCAAACAAGGGAAATATTTTCATTAATATTTTATTATTTACTCACCAAGACTGTCTATTGTGTCATTGAAATTGCATACGTTTTAAGATTTAACATAGTCTTGACCAGAAAAAAAATGGTATTTTTACAGGATAAAAAAATTAGATATTTTAAAAAAATTAGATATATATTTAGGCCTGTGGTTTGGTTTAAGTTTTAGTCTACAGGCTTGAAGCACCCAAATCCTATATTTGTTTATAGAAACAAACATTTTAAATGCAAATCTATCACCCTGTTAATGTTTCTACTTTGCTTGAAATTATTTATACATACAAATAAAAGTACATTAAAATGTGACTTTACCAAAACATTCATTTGCCTATTATTAAAATAAATATCTATCATGGCAGGTATGTTTTTGTTTTTGCTTCTGCATCAACCAACTGACTAATAATAAACCTACCCCCAATGCAGACTTTGTCCATAAAAAATGCACAAAAAAACTTGATTCACAGAATAAAAAATAGGTAAGCTAGGAAAATACATCAATATTTTCTTCTGACATATTTATATCTTTATTTTTTCTCATTTTTTAAAAGATAAACTCTGTTAGAATAAAACGGAGTGATATATTTTCACATTATAACACATATACGTTTCTGGATTGTGATTGTCTATTTGTCCTTGGCCAAAATTTTTGCCTATTCTAAGTTTATTTCAGCTTAAAAGGAGAAAGATCCTTCAAGAATATATGATCTATATTGCTGTTGGATTTTTTTATTATTATGTTTTGATAATTACTTTTTTTTTGTTTAAAGTATTACACATAGTAGTACATATAACTCCTTTCCCAGCTATTGACCTTCCCCTAGCCTCCCCTACCCCTTGTCACATGCCCTCAACCCACCCACCCCACCCCCCAGTGTCTTGTGTCCACTGGATGTGCTTATATGCATGCATACAAGTCCTTTGGTGAATCACTTTCTTCCCCTGTCTAACACTCCCATGCTGCTGCAAATGGTACTACACTGCTATAAAAATGAAGGAATTCTTACCATTTGGATTTATTTTTTTAACCAATGACAAATAGCTTTGCTTTTTTAAGGCATTTGTGCTAGGTGCTAAGACATAAATAGTTCTTCAACTTAGTCCCTGGAAATTTCAACTTTAAAATGACTAATATTCAAGTGCATCCTACCTCTCAAATTTTATCTGAATGAATGAAAACCTATCATGATCCTTCTATTAAGCTACATTGGTTCATTATTCTGAACAATTTAATCATAAAAACCTTACTTGTCTATTGCTACCTCTAACATTTTTTCAGAAATAGCCATATTGTTAAGCTACTAAAACCTTTGTATCAAAAATCTAGAACAGTGATTTTTCAACTGTGTTTAAAGCAAAAAAAAAAACACACTTTGTTTTAGGATCTGGTTTCAAGGATGAAGCTAAGAGTAGTTTCTTTCATCTAATCCAGCAGATTTGTTTTACAGAGCTCTGAGCTTAATCAGACTTTTTCCCTTCACTCCTAGACACTGTGAGCAGAAAGAGAATAGAATCATCCTGGTAATAGCAGAGCTTCCAAATGTAGCCTCCAGAGAGTGTGGCTCACTGATGCAGGGATGGAAGAGTAGAGGAAGTAGAAGTGGGTACAGTGTGTAGGTTCAGCTTCCTGTCCCCAGGAGTGCTCCAGGCTCATGGGTGGCTTGGCAATTTCATGAATGAGTTCCACTGTGAACAAGCAAGAAAGTCAAACATTTCTCCTGTCATTGGACTAAGTTGATATAGTCATGGAACTTAATGAAATTTGTTCAGAATCCTAGGCTAGAAAATTCCACGGAAAACAACAACTTTCAAATCATGATATTAAAACCAATTCCTCTTAAAACTCAGTGCCTAAATGCAAACAACAACATCTTGAGACTAGTCCAGTGATCATAATTACAAGGTAATGATTTTTGGAGGATGTAAGTCTAATAAAGAGAACTTTCCACTTAAATATCTATCTACACACCAGCAAGCATATCACATACACCTTATAAAATACAAGCAAAGGTGACATTTATCTATCTGCTTTTAAAAGTGTCCCTACCCTAGCAGGTCAGCTGTATACCACACTCAGGGTAATGCAACCTCCCTGCCACCAAGCTCTTATCATTCTGAGGAGCAGAGTTTGAAAATCACCAATCTGGATTTTTATAATTTCAATGGACTCTAAACAACAACAATAACAACAACAAAAATCCTTTGCAAAATTAAAGACATATAGCTATTTTGTTTGTTTGTTTGTTTGTTTTTATCAGCTACCTTAATGATTTGGACAGAATAACGGCTCCTGGATACGTTCCAAATGAGCAAGATGTTCTACATTCTCGCGTGAAAACAACGGGAATCATTGAAACTCAGTTCTCCTTTAAAGACCTGCATTTCAGGTATAAGCAAATATATTTTTTCACTATTAATGAAAAAATATGTCATTCTCAATATTTCTGCGCAGAGAAAAGCTCTAGTTCATGTTCAAGTGCAGTGACTCCTTGGGATTGCTCACGAGGCCTCGTTTATTTCTTTATCGCTGACCTTGCCTGCCCGCCCATAGCCTCACACGGGGACCCTCATCCTGAGCTCCTTCCGTTCTTCCACTAACAGGTGGGAGCTAGACTTTCTTCCTCATCTTTGAAACTGATATCCCACTTTAAAAAAAAAAACAACATATTTAAATACCATTTAAGCAACAGGTGCTACGGATCCTATTTCCTTTGCCTTCCAAGCCTCCCATTTGCTTGAAATGCTCTTACGAATTTACTTCCTTAATTTAAAAGGCAAATAATTGAGAAGAGAATTATTTGAATCTGATGCTGTGGACTGGAATAGCAAGGCCTGCTTGCTATTGATCCCATTAGTTTCGTTGTCATCGCATCATCAAGACCACCTTAGAAATTCTATTGCGATTGGACTTGCGCTCTCAGAGGAAAACCCTTCTATTACAGGAAGAAATAAAAATCCATAGGGTAGTGGTAGAAAGTTGACACTTAAGCACCTCTCCCTACCAATTGTGGGTAAGGTGGAATATTAAACATTAAAACCAGGTTCTAGAAGTATTCTTTAGTAATGAAAAAAAGTCAGTAAAGTATAATCAATAAAGTCACTCATGCATGCAGTAAGGAAAGTATTTTTGAAAAGTAGAAAGAAAGAAAAAAAGTGCCATTAACTATTTGTATCAAATTGTGGGGGGAAATCCGTTTTAGTGGGGAAATGTTTTAAGGCATTTTAAGTACTAAAATTGGTAATACACACTATCTAATTACAATAGTTATTACAGGATAATTTACAAGTCAGTGTAGAAGGAAGCTCTTCAAAATGTATCCCCAAATCTCAGGCCCACAAGTCGTTAGTTTTCTGAAAGGTGAGTGGCAGAGAGAACCAGGGGAAAGGACTGCGAAGGCTGGGACACAGCCCCTGTTGGTCAGGTGGTGAGCAGAGCTTATCGACAGTCCTGTCAGCACTGCGGAGCATTTCCTCTTTGGCAGCTTCTTTCTCCGGGCTCCTGATCTTTGGTCTAGTTTCTGGGGTTTTCCTTTGGGAGCTCAACTCCAATTGCTCTGTCCCCTCTGTCTGCCCCAAGTCTCTCAAAGCATTCCTGGCACATTGCCTTTTCTGTCTTACTCTCCTTCCTCCCCTCCAAAAGTCTCACTGAAACACGGAGGGAGGCATAAGCTTTGGGTCTAGTCCTTCCATCCCAGATTCTCCATGAAAGATCAGCAGTTGTTGAGGAACGAAGGCCCCTTTTCTTTACTTGTCTAATGAGTTCACTGTAAAGTCCCAGCGGAAAGTTACCACGTGATGTTAGCATGTCTTACACAAGCTGATCGCATTTCCCAGATCCTAGATTGTCTGGTTCTTAGGTTAGTTTTGAAAAATGAATGTCAGATATCAAATACCTTGAAGTTCACAATACTGGCCATTCTCAGAAACCTTGGTCTTTAGTATCTTCTCAGAAATAGGTAGGCAACACATAAATTATCTTTTTTTTTTTTTAATAAATAGTGTTCCTCAAATATTCAAGGCACAGAGCCTCTGTACTTGCTGTTCTCTTCGCCTAAAATGTTCTGGCCTTGAATGTCTGCAAGAACCGGCTCCTTCTTAAGTCCTCAAATCAAATGCTATCTCCTCGGGGAGCCTTGACTATCCTATCTATTAATCATCCTTGCATACCCCTGTCACTACTACACTCAGCAGTGTACTGGTAAATATATAAGAACAAGCTCTTGTGGGCAGGGAGAGGGAGAAGGCTTATTTGTGACTCTTGATTATTTCCTTGGTGTAAATAACCGACAATGTCCAGCTTCAACTGACCAACATGTTGACACTCATGTAAAGTTGGGAAGAATTGCAAAGAAACAGTACTTATTAGCTATACCAATGTGAGCCGGTGTCATATCATTGATATATTAAACTACATTTTTCTCTTTCGAAAAACCAATATATGAAACTGTTTCTTATTCAGTTTGCTCTTTCTGTTTCTGCTTCTGCCTCATATACTCTGAGCTCCAGGAGGCCAAGGGCCATGTCTGTTTATAGCTCTATCTTCTGTGATTATCAGCATGGCTAGCACAAAGCGGGCACATAGTCAGTTCCTGCTAGATGAATACAAGTACTACAGTAGTTCAAACATTCTATGTACATTATCTTTACACTCTCACTGTCATATAACCAGCTGGGCATTGCAATCCTTACACAGAATCAAGAACCAAGGAATGGAAGCTAAGCCCTGCCAACATGGCTAAGGGGTTGAGCGTTGACCTGTGAACCAGGAGGTCACTGTTTGATTTCCGGTTGTAGGCTCAATACCCCAGTAAGGGGCAAGCAGGAGGCAGCCGATCAATGATTCTCTCTCATCATTGATGTTTATATATCTCTCTCCCTCCCCCTTCCTCTCTGAAATCCATATATATATATATATATATATATATATATATATATATATATATATATAAATGTATATATATATATATGAATAATTGAGTCTAATAAAGAATATATATATAAAATGGAAGCTAGAACTAGGTGAAAGATTTCCCCAAGATCATTTATAGAAGTACTAGAAATGTGATTAGCATGCACAAATTTCTCATTTCAAAGTCTGCACTTTTACACTACATATCAGTGATGGGCTATGGGTAAATTGATATGAAAACTATTCTTTTTCTATAATGTATGTGCTTCTGCTAGTATTGTTGGTCATTCATGAATCAAATGGCAGCCTGTTGGGGAGATATCTTTGAGCTGGCAGGCCCCTATGGGACTTCACAAGCCTGTGCTTCTAAAGCCAGGGCACATGATGATTGCCAATGAACTCATGAAACCTCAGCAGTCATGTTCATTTCCTGGAACATCTATTTTACTCAGATCTAAATATAAATATTCATAAATGTATAAAGCAAATATTCTGAGTAGAATACATTTGCATTTAAAAAATAACAGTGTTTTAAATATTTTTTTCCTTCAGTTTAGACCTCTAGACCTTCATTTGTACATGCTTGATTTTTTGCCCTGTTGTAGTTCAGTAGTTAATTTTGTACACATCATATTAATTCCTATAAGTATGGGTCCTCCTATTCTACTTTCATACACTGCTGGCCCTAGTGGAGGAATGAGAAACATTTTGCTAATTTATGAATCCCTGTTAGCACTTATTTTGACAGTAGAGACTGGGTGCACGAATTTGTGCATGAGTGGGGCTCCTCGGGTTGGCCTGCAGAGATCAGACCCCAGCTTGTGACCCCAGCCTGCAGTCCTGAATGGCACCCTATCTTGGCCTGGCACTGTCCCCTCACCGGCTCTACCATCCTCCCTGTGGGGCGATCAAACCAGGGACAGGGCCCTTGCCCTCAGTGCCTGGGAGTCAGGTGGCAGCCCTGCAACCTGCTGCTGCCACAGGTCACCATCTGTGGGGTGAAAGGCAGAGCAATAAGGCCCTAACTCACACCTGCCCTGGCCTTGCACCCACTCACCTGCTCCACCATCTGCTGTAGTCTTGCTCTTGTCAGGCCCATTAGGGTGTGAGCTGCTGCCAGCACCATGTCACCAACACCCACCATGTTCCGCACCACCCCCTGATGGTCATCACACTTTGTAGTGAGCAGTCGAACTCCTGGTCAAACTCATAATTGAACAACCGTCCTAGGGGGAAATTTGCATATTAGGCTTTTATTATATAGGACAGCAATTTCTACACTATGCAACTACTACCCTACTACCTCTTTTCCATCCACTGAAACCACTTTTCTTTTCTTAATGGTTTTTTTTCTTTCTCATTGACTTAAGAGGGTAAGTTATTAAAAGCATCTTGTATGAGGAAGAAAATGCAAAAAATTTCTCTACAAAATTTTTAAATATTTAAATTTTACTATAAAATATTAAAGAACAGAGTTATGCTTTTTATAGAACTCTTTTTAAAATATATTTTTTATTGATTTCAGAGAGGGAGGGAGAGAAAGGTAGGAACAGCCATGATGAGAGAGAATTGGCTGTCTCCTGCACGACCCCCACTGGGGATCAAGCCTGAAACCTGGGCATGTGTCTTGACCAGGAATCAAACTGTGACCTCCTGGTTCTTAGGTCGATGCTCAGCCTCTGAGCCACACCAGCTGGAATTTAGGGAATTCTTTAAAATAAATTAAATATAAGTTGAGTCACAGCAATATTAATGCCTTAATAAATTCTTACAATTAAGTCATCTTTTTTTCTTTTTCTGTAGTACTGAATAAAATTATCTAAAAGCACACAGGCATTTGTAGTGTAAAATTTTGTAGTATTTCAAAATAGGAAATATAAAAACAATGTACATTCCAATTTATTTCAGAAAGCACCCAGGTATTAAAATATAGTGCATTAGCATTGATTTGTATTCACATAGCATAAATCATCATATCACTATTTAAAAACCAAATGCTTAGTTTACATATTAAATTATTCAGGAATTTTAACTAGGAACTTCAAAATGAAAAATTACCTCTGCCAATGTACTATATCATTTTCATGTATCACCTAATTTAGTGGAAATTACCTAGAATTCTTATCAAATCAGAATGCCAACTGTCAAACTGATAAAATTAACTACCTATACAGATGTTAAAGTACTATGTAAATGAAAAATTCAATGCAAATACGAGACCATCTATTTTTGTAAAATAATTCCTCAGGACAAAGAATTTACTGATTTATTCACAATTAAAAAGAAGCCACTTTTCAAGATTAAAAAAACAATTGACCGAACATAAAACCATGCAGAAGTCAATGAAAAGAGGTCAGAAAATATTACAACATAAACATAAAGCTTGAGATATTCTAAATTCAATATAATTATTTTCAACATTCAAATGGATCTCATATAAAATAAATTATAATTTTCCTGAATTTGGAGTCATGCGCACTATGTTAATTTCTGGGAAGTTAGACTCATCTAATCTCAGGAGTGAGTCTGGTGTCTACCTAGCAGCTGTATTTCAACTTAGCTTTGTTATTTTCTACTAGGTCTCATAGAGCAATAACTCATGTATACTATCTATTTGATTAAGTTATGTTTATGGTTAATATTACCAAAATAATAAGTTATAAAACATAATGTGTAATTTATTATAGTGATAGAATTTATTTTAATGAATGTATAGATTATATCATTCAATAATTAGAGAATTAAGTGGGCATTTTAAGTTTCAAATATGCACATAGACTTAGCAAAAAGTATGTATATAGTGGTACTAACAATTTGGGAGTTTAGAGACCCTGGATCCCTCATGGTTGTAAGTCCTTTTGATTTTGTTTTTTTTAACCCCAAACAATTAAGGATTTTAGAATGATCTCTGTGCATATACTTTATGTCTGTAATTATCTGTTCTGATTTTTAGAACATGGCACAGGACAAAGACTTGATTAGGCCATTTTCCTATGGCTCTATAGCGATGACACAGATCCACCTGTTAACCCTGTCATGTGACATAAGAGGTTATGTCAATTGTGTTAAAACCAAGTATATTGAATAAATCTTATAATTTAATAATTTAAAATAATAATTTAAGTACATATTTAAATAAAGTCATATTCAGATTAGATCTTATTTTTCTGAGATCAAATAAGTAGATGTCAATAATTATAATTTTTCTAATTTTGCTTATAGGATGAGCAAAAAAATTTAACAAATAAATTAGCTGCGGTAGCATTATTTATTTTTAGCTATCCTATGTTGTATAATGGTTTTGCAAGCACTGCAAAGGGCAGATTAATAATAATCTATTCTGATAGGAAGTATGAATAATCTTGTGTGGTAAATATTTAGCCAATTGTTTACCATAAACCCATAAAACTCAAAAATTTATAATAGACTATAAACTCAACTGTTTAGTCAACTGCTTAATATTAAGCTATAAAACTCTGGTGACTTGGCTTATATTAATGCTATGGGCAATTTAACAAATTATTGATGTTCAGCTATGAGTTAAAAGCCTGACCAGTCAATTTAGATACATTTTGGGCATTTAAAAAGTTTTTAAAAAAATTCTAACTTAAGTACCTTACTTAATAAGAAAATACATATAACCAAAAGTAAGAGCAAAATCCTTTATCCAAAATGAGAACTGCAAGTTCCAATCACTGTTATTTTGGCACTCTGGTTACCCTAACTGCTTAGAAAATTAAGGGTATTCAAGCTGTATCACATGTCCATTCATCAGATTAATTGCCCAGATAGATTAGCCCAAACCAAATGTTCATCAGCAAGTATATGTGTTCTTTGTGTTTATTTTTGTTTTTCACAGCATGGTCATGATGGAATATAAACACACACATGTATAAAATCACTTCTTCAGTGAAATGTATAATGAACAAATGCTCTACTTTGGGAAACTCCATATTGTATTAATAGGATGTTATGCTTTATAGCTCTAAAATAAGCCTCAAATTAAAATTTAGAGAAACCCCTAAAGTGAAAAGGGATGTATGAAAAATAAATTATGACAACAGCAGAAGAGCATAATGTAAGCTTTCTTAGAGCTAACATTACATCCTGAAGAATCTATATAAAAGCAAAACTCCAGCTGTTGGTCTGATTTCCTAATGAACATTTCAGTTCTATAATGTTTTCATTACTAGGGATTCTCTGTAAATTATTTTTAATTTAAAAATCTATCAACATGAGAGAAACAAGATTATCCTCTCAGAGGTAAAATATTTGATAACCATACAAGGAATCTGAGCAGTTATCTAAAGTTACATTAAGAATATTCTTAGATTTGTAAAATTTGAATATATCTGATCAAAATTATAAATGTGATTAAATAAAGAACCAATCAAAATAGATGGAGATGGGTTCATTGTCCATAAAAGAAGATAAAAGAGGTCCAAAACAAATACTAATAGGACTAACCCCAGCCCTGTTTAATAGGGAAAACTTAATCAATCTATTTTGGAAATTGGCTCCTATGGCACCATCATTATTACTGTGAAATTTGAATATTTGGCACTCAGTACAAATATCCCATTCATCCAGTGATTTTTGTCCTGGCTCTGTGATTCATTAGTTCTCCCTTATAGGATACCCACCCTGGAAGCAAACCCTGAAGAGAGGATTAGAGCAAAAAAAGAAACAAGAATTATGGAGGTTCTTCCATGTTAAAATTGAGTGGGTGGGACTACAAGGAGGGGTTTTAGTTTGACAAAGCCATCATAAGTTTAAACCTAGTGATGTACAGTCCATCCTCAACTTTACAAGTTAATGCATTTTTGTCCAATGACAAATCATATTTCTTTGCCAACAAATGATCCACCATATCTTACCTAATAAAAGAGAAACATGCAAATTAACCATCACTCTGCTATGCCCACAGCCAATCAGAATGAGCATGCAAATTAATCCAGCAAAGATGGAGGTTAAATTGCATATGCAGGTGCGGAGTGGGCTGGGAGGGGCGTGATGCTTGCTATAAGGGGAAGGGGGGGATGGGCGGAGGGAACTACTGGAGCCGAGCTCTGCACAGAAGCGAGGACATGCTGGCTCTTGTGCGGCCAGGGAGCTGGGACTTGCTGGCTCCCGGGTGGCTGGGAGTGAAGCCAGAGGAAGAAAGGCCTATTTTTGCACGAATATCATGCAATGGGCCTCTAGTATTTACATATGGTTAAATGGAGAATATGTGAAACACCTAGAACCCAGACTGTCTACAGTATCTCCATTAGTAAAATGAAACAAAACACCTGAAAGGTGGAGAATATGCCCAGGGAACTGTTTGGCACCACATGGAACCATCTGACCAGAGGAGGAAGGTCAGACTTCACAGCAAAGGTAATGGCAGTTTCACTTGATGAGGGTTTGAAACTTACCCAGATAATATGCTCTACTCGGGGACCTCTAGTCAAAGAAAGTCGATCTAAACTTAATGATGTTCACAACACCCCATGTTCTCTCATTCCTTACACATGCACTTTACATTAATATAACCCCTTCGTGCCAGTAACATGAAATATACTCATTTATTTAGCTTTTTTTTTTATTACATGTCCATTGTGTATGAGGGATAGTGCCTTGCACTGGGGATATAGACATCACTACCGATAGATAAGGTCCCTATCCTCAAGCAGCCACTATTCTATTAGGGCAGATAACATATACTAAATTTGCAAAAACACATAAATAAGCGAACCAGTAAACGACTGATTGTGACAATTACTATAAAGGAAACTAAGAGAGTGGTGTGATAGAAAGTCAGTGAGTCAGAAAGACCTGCTGAGAAAGAAGGGTTACAGAAGGAAAAGGGGAATCATGTCATATGGAAAGGAGAGAGACAACAGAAATCCTGAAATAGCAAAATTTAGGTTTATATTAACGGAACTAAAAGAATAACCTTGTGATTGAGCTGCATTAAAAAGAGGAACTAAGCTTGGATAAGTAAGCAAGAACCAAAATAACTGTGATCGTAGTGCCCATTAAGCTAGTTTGTGTTTGATGCTAAAGGGGAAAAGACGCCACGGAAAAGTATAATAGACCTCTGGCCCTGGTCAGAAATGTTGGTGGTTTATCCAAGAGGAAATGAGTAGGAAAGAAGTGGTTGAATTAGAATCTGCATTTTTTAATTGTTCTAAACGGATGGTAAGAGGATGTGGGGCATTAAAAATTTAGTTTCTGTATCGAATTGCCATGTCCACATTGTTGCCTCGTACCAAAATACAAAAACAGAAGGAGAACCAAATATTCAACTATACTCCTCTGAGTAAGTTTATTGACCCTTCAGGCTGAAATAATTCTCCCTCTAGGCTCACACTTTACCTTGTAGATTAGAATTTTATTTTAAAACAGTATAACAATGTATTTGTTTTTCGCTTTGAAGATAGTGAGGATATTTTTTTCATTTTTGCAGCAGTAGGTCTTAGCACAATGTCTAGTGCATGGATTTATTTCTGGGCTCTCTATTCTGTTTCATTGTGTCTATGTGCCTTTCTATGCCAATATCATACTGTTTTAATTAAGATAGCTTTGCAATATAGTTTGAACTCAAGGAATTTGATGCCTCCAACTTGGTTCTTCTTCCTCTAGATTGCTTTGGCTATTCAGATCTTTTGTGGTTCTATACAGATGTTAGGATTGTTTGTTCTATTTCTTTGAAAAATACCAATGGGGTTTTAATATGGATTGCATTAACTCTATAGCATGGGCATTTTAACAATAGTAATTATTCCAATCATGATCAGGTTCAATAATCATTTGAATAAATGAATGTAGAAAGGGCAGAGGGTGGGGTGGGAACCTGGTGGAGGAGAGCAATGGTGGAGGGGGAAAAAGGAACATTTGTAATAATATGAACAATAAAAACTTATTTAAAAAAAAAAAAGAGCTAAGAAAACAGTCCAGGAATTATATTACCAGAACTATGTTAGTTTCCAATCTTATTGTGAATTATATTAATTTAAGAATATATGTATAAACTTAGATCAAAATCTCCTAAGGCTAATCAATTTCTTACTAAAACTCTAAGCTACTTTAAATTTCCCACATGCTCAAAGTAAGCGTGTAATTTATTTTACTATTGTTTGCATGAAGTAAAAAAAGAAAATGATGGAATTTCTTCTTTGGTCCTTGAGCTGAAAATTGGCCAAATAAGACGTATTTTATAATGAATAAAAATCAAAAGACTACCTTCTAGAGATATGAAAGTATCCTTTTAAAATTATAAAAGATATTGAAAATTTTGGAGGCTATTTGCAAGTTTTGTTATTCTATTATTATTTTTTTAAAGAATGTTCGATGTTGGTGGACAGAGATCTGAGAGGAAGAAGTGGATTCACTGCTTCGAAGGAGTTACCTGCATTATATTCTGTGCAGCACTCAGTGCCTATGACATGGTCCTAGTGGAAGATGAAGAAGTGGTAAGTCTAAAAGGAATATAAGGTGAGGGTGAAAATCAATCATTTTCAGTTTGCAGTATTACCACCACATTTTCCAACACAACCAAGGCCCTCCAAAGGTGTTATTTCTAGATCCAAGATTAACATTTTGCAAATAATAATTCTACACGTTCTCATCTTTTAAACCAAACAGAACAGAATGCACGAAAGCCTTCACCTGTTCAACAGCATCTGTAATCACAAGTACTTTGCCACCACCTCCATTGTCCTGTTTCTCAATAAAAAAGATCTCTTTCAAGAAAAAGTCACCAAAGTACATCTTAGTATCTGCTTTCCAGAGTACACTGGTAAGATAATTTCCATATAATTACAGAGTAGTAAAAATTTATGTAGATATGTATTTCTTTATCTGGATCTTGACATGCAATATTTATGAGGTTGAGGCTTGTAGTACATTTTGAGTCGTGCGTGTGATCCAAACTGGAAAGAATTTTATAAGAGAAAATGTCCCTACTTTGCATTAAAGCAAAGCTCTAGTAAATAATTAGGCTCTAGTAAATAAATAGGAGATGGTTCGATAGACTGGTGTTGGTACTCCATAATAATGTATCAAGTGATGTTGCAAACATTAAACATTGTAATAGGAATGTAAATCTTATTTCAGATTGGAATTTTTCATATATTTCCTGATGAAACCTTGGGATGCTGTATTAGATGTCAGTACCTTCTCAAAGTATGAATTAAATTTCCCAAAGGGTAGCATGAATGAATTTGAGAATAGTGGCACCCTTTTTTTTTTCTAATTGTCCTAGAACTTAAGAGGTTTAGTGCTGCTCCTATTAATCAGTATTTATAAATGTCAGGTTCTCTAGAAGGGTTATTTTCCCTTTGGAAACTTTTTTTTTTTGCTGTTATATGCTCTGTTGTCAGTGAAATTGGGTGAGATAAAAATATTTATGATTTATACACAAATACAAGCAATTTCTTGATACATGAGTCACCCAGATGTTACTAGGACTATGGCATTCTGTCAAAATGACTATATGTACTAGTCTGTAATTAGTGCTTGTATCTTTCTTCTGAATTTATAAATATTAATTATATGTTCACATATTTATCATAGGATTAAATATAGTGATTCTATATTGAATATTATAATTTTTAAAATTTTAATTGACTTCAGAGAGGAAAGGAGAGGGAGAGAGAGATAGAAACATCAATGATGAGAGAGAATCATTGATCAGCTGCCTTCTGCATGCCCCACACTGGGGATCAAGCTTGCAACCTGGGCATGTGCCCTTGACCAGAATCTAACAAGGGACCCTTCAGTCTGCAGGTCAATGCTCTATCTACTAAGCAAAACAGTCTAGGGTTTAAATATTACAAATTAAATAATAGACTTACAACAATACTTTCTTTTAAGTACTAGAGTGTACTTCTTAGACCAGTTTTTAGTTTAGAAGAGAAAATACAGAGTTCCCATATACTCTCTAGTCAGCTCCCACAGTTTTCCGTATTATTAACATCTTACATTGCTGCAGTCTTGTTACAGTTGATGAACAGATATTGGTACATTATTAACTAAAATCAGCAGTTTCGGTCTAACTGGTTTGGCTCAGTGGATAGAGGGCCTGCCTATGGGCTGAAGGGTCCCAGGTTCGATTCTGGTCAAGAGCATGCACGTTGGTTGCGGGCACATCCCTAGTAGGGGGTGTTCAGGAGGCAGCTGATTGATGTTTCTCTCTCATCAATGTTTATAATTCTCTATTTCTCTTCCTAACTCTCTTTTTAAAAAAATCAATTAAATATAAAAATAATAAATAAACAAACAAACAAATAAATAAAGTCAGCAGTTTGCATTGTGTAAGTCTTTGTGTACAGGTCTATGGATTTTACCAAATGCCTCTCATGTGTCCACCATGATTGTATTTTACAGAATACTTTCGCCGCCTTACAAATCTCTGTGCTCCACATTCATACTTCTCCCCACCCTCCAACCCTTGGAAACCACTGTTATTTTCACTTTCTATAGTCTTGACCTTTCCAGAATGTCATATAGCTGGAATTAAACAGTATGTGGCATTTTCTAATGCCTTTCGTTTTTCAATATTAAATGCAATATGCACTTCAATGTCCTCCATATCTTTTCATGGATTGATAGCCCACTTGTTTTTATTGTGGAATAATATTTCATTCTATAAACAAACCACTCTCTGTATCCTTTCACCTATTGAAAGATATCTTGGTTGCTTCCAGTTTGGGGTATTATGGATAAAGCTGCTATAAAACACTCATGTGCAGGTTTTTGTGTGTACATGAGTTATGGTGTTAATACCCAGGAGTACAATTTCTGGATTGTATGCTAAGACTACGGTTAACTTTGTGAGAAATTAACAAATTGCCTTCACAAGTGGCTGTACCATTTCTGCATCCCCATCAGCAATAAATAAAAGCTCCTGTGGCTCCACATCTTTGCTAGCATTTGGTGTTGTCAGTGTTTTGGAATCTTAGCTGTTATGTTGTTTTAGGTATCGTCCCTTGTGGAATTTTTCTCCTGGTAATAATAAACAAAATCTTACCTTCTTGGAGAATCTTTATGCTACCATCCTATCCTGTGTTAGGTCCCCACTCAGCACATTCTGCTAAAGCCATCAGTTGGTCATTTTTAGGTGTCCTGTATTTGTTAGCCTTCTTACTTTATTTATGCCTTCCCCAATTGATCTATTGTGTATCCTGCTACTAGTCTAACTTCCTTAAGCACAGCCTTCATTGGCTCTTTATTTAACTTTACTAAAACATCAGTCAAGAATAGTTCTCTATCTTACATTTCTCTTTTTAGCTACCCTGTTTAGTTAGCAACATAGTTCATAATCTGGCCCATACCACCTACACTACTTGACCTCCTACAATCCCTCTACAAAAATCTTTCATTTTTATCAAACTGGATTCTCCAAAATGCACATTAACTTCTCAACCCGACCCTGAAGTCTAGTGATACAGGCCATTCTCACTCTCACTCTTGATTCTCGCTCATATAATTTTTCTGTTCTCTTTTAGCTATTCCTCAAGGTCCAGTTCAACTACCACCTCACTCTGCAGATTTATTTATAATTTTTATTCTTTTCTTCATTTTGTTCATATGAAACCAAATGCACATACACACACACACAGACTTTGGGGTATACACACACACACACACACACACACACACACACAAACACACACACACACACACACACACACACACACACACACACACACACACCGTATTTTCCGGCTTATAAGACAACCCCTAATTTTACAGTTAAAACATAGGTTTAGGCCTATATTCGCTGTATAAGACTACCTCCCACTTCAAAGAAAAGACTTACTTTGCCGTCAAGATCTGTAGGTAATTTTTGTGCAATTTTGGTCTTTTGCCCCCGATTTTCGGTTGACTTTTTTTCGTTTCAAAAGTCGTCTTATACGCCGGAAAATATAGTGTGTGTGTGTGTGTGTGTGTGTGTGTGTGTGTATGTGTGTGTGTGTATACTTCATTACTCACTTACTTGATTGTGTAAATATATTCGTATTTCTTCTCTATTGAGGTAAAGGTTAAATATTAGCCACTTGAAGCCCTCCGCGGTCAAGTATAATTCCCAGCACAAAGTATGCATTACATAAATCCAGATAACTGACTATTGCCAATATTGACTTTTTAGTACATAGTACATCAAATAGAAGCACACAAAGTAAAATCATAAAACTTACTGATATTATTTATAATTTTAATTTTTATGCAATTAATGTTTACTTTAATTTCTTTTTTAACAAGGGCCAAATACATTTGAAGATGCAGGGAACTACATCAAGAACCAGTTTCTAGACCTGAATTTAAGAAAAGAAGACAAGGAAATTTATTCCCACATGACCTGTGCTACAGATACCCAAAATGTCAAGTTCGTGTTCGATGCAGTTACAGATATAATAATCAAAGAGAATCTGAAAGATTGTGGACTTTTCTAATCAAACTCCCCCCCCCCCATTCCATTCTTGCTTATGTATGTTTTTCAAGATATAAAAGGAAAGGTGCTGTGTGATGTGTTGTTTTAATAGATATTAACACCTCTAGAAATGTAAGTAGCATTATAAAGCAACAGGTTTTCATGCTAAGTTTGAATTTATTGTCACCTGTTTCTGGATCACTTTTTATTTCTGTGGGACATTAAGGATGAGACGTCTTTGATGTCCTCAGGTTTGAAAACTGGTAATAACGGAAATTCCATATCACTGACATTGAGTTTGCTTGGAAATTAAGTTCTGCATTTTGGCTTATTTTTGATCATAAAACAATTAAAAAATGCAAAATAATCCATATTATTTCCATTGGCCACATTTTGGGAGGCATTCATTTTGGTTGATAATGTAACTGTGCCTGTACTATAGAGACTATTCAAAGGTGATATACATGGTATTTTACTGGTCCATTACTCCTATTCAGAAAAAAAAAAAAAGCATGCAATTTTACCTGTTTTCTTTTTTTCCTAGGAAATAGTATTAGTGCTTAATTTACCTGTAGAACTGAAGATTTCAATAATTTATCTCTGCTGATTGAAAACGGGGCAATGTATGGTTAAGTACACAATATAAGGCTATTAACAGTTCTCAATGGAACACTCATTTTTCCCCATTTTATTCCAGAACAGCAAGGAACATTATTATAATTAATGGTTTGGGGCCAATTCTTAGACTGCAAGAGAGAAAACTAATTCAGTGTCTTATAATTAGTATATGTTATTTTTTAAATAAGTAGAAAGAAAGAGCAAGTAATTAGGAGATTTTTTTTTAGAAGAGAAACACTGAGCTTCTCTCTTAGTACCATTTGATTCATGCTAAATATCACATGGTATGCTAGTAGTCAGAGCTTCCTTTTTAAAAGTTAATTTGATGCCTTGTAATCTAAATCATATTATTTATGGACAAAAAGAATGCCTTTTCTTTTTTAATGTGTGTATCAATACTAATATTCTTTTCCAAGCATGTCTTAATATTTTTTACTCTAAACACTTGTAAAAGAAGCTGATATAGATCAGAATAGTAGGTCAATGCATGATTTAGTACTCTGAAAAAATAGCTAATTAGGTGTTTACAAGTGTAGATGAGATGAAGAAAACATAAATCAAGCAATATGCCAACCTGTAGCTCTGTTTGCTGTAGCTGCTACTTCATTGTTCTGTAACATATTTCTTTCCCAAAAACATAAGGATGATCACTATTCAGTAAGTAACCTTTACTAACGTGTTCTTGGGTTTATCTTCAAAACCACAAAAGCAAGTATAAATAAATTTGTTTAAGAAAAACTATTTTTAAATTTCTTTGCAGAATATATATTTTCAAAGAGCTTAAGATACCAAGAACAGCCGAAGCTGATTTCAGCCTGTGGACTGAAAGGTCCCAGGTTCAATTCCAGTCAAGGGCATGTACCTTGGTTGAGGGCACATCCCCAGTGGGGAGTGTGCAGGGGTCAGCTGATCGATGATTCTCTCTCATCGATGTTTCTAACTCTCTATCCCTCTCTCTTCCTCTCTGTAAAAAATCAATAAAATATATTTAAAAAATGATACCAAGAACAACAACAACAAAAGCATGAAAATATATTTAGTTCAGGCACTCAATAAAATTGACTCACTGAAAAACAACATCTATATGACAACAGCCCAACTTTGCTGGGAGATATTCAATGCTACAAGATTAAAAAATTAAGATTACAAATGCTACCATTTCTCCCATGGTGCTTTGTCTTTTTTTCCTTCTACTCTACTTTAAACTATTTGTTTCCATTAGGATGAGAAGAATTTTCCAGAAAAGATTAATGTACTTTTTGAAATGTTACTATTATTGTTATTTAGATTTTGACATTGGCTTACCATTAGGATTTCTTCGTTAGGTAATACAGGTAGAAAGGGATGGATACAAAATGGTTCAATTAGTCTTTTAAAAATGCAAAACTAATTTCAATCTGTGCAAAAAACTGGCAGGCATCAATATTTACTATGAAATATTGTAATCTGAGAACTTTAAAAAATATGCTAAATGACCAATCTATAATTATAGGTTAAGTTTGGGTTATTAAAACAAATATAAACAACATAAATTTATTCCAATCCCGACTAAAATTCTCCCAAATCAATAACATTTACTATGCTAAGAAATAATTTTAATTAAACAGAAAAATGTTTGATAGAGAAAATATAAAATAGATGTTATATTTTATATTATTTCTTTAATGATTGAAACCTTAAATTTGAGTCTATTTTTTATTTTACATTAACATTTTAATTAAAAATGGTTGGTGTAGCATTTGGGGCCAAATTTTTAAAAAAATAGAAAATATAGGAAGCTATGTTTTAGCTGGAAGAAATGCAAACTGAGACTAGAAATGTTCAAGTGGCTTAGAACTGAAACACCTATTTCAATTGAAAAATTCAATGTTTAACTGTACAGTTAGATGTGGATTTACTTATTTATTTAATTTTCTTTTTTGCATTTATAGTGTCTCAAAGAAGCAGTCTTAGTTGTTTTCATTTTAAAGTTCAAATCTGATTATACTGACATTTCCCTTTTGTGCTAGTTGAGGTTTCTCTGCCTCAACTAGCACAAACTAACACACTGTTCCTGAATCCTGCTTAGTTTATATTTCTAGCACTGCCAGCTCATGCATGTCTAAGGTTTGCCCTTCCTCAGGGATATGGTGCAGGCCTGTAACGAATGAGGTCATTCACAACTAGCCCTGACAGAGGCTTTCCAGGAGCATGAAAAGGTCAATAAAGTCTTTGCAACATGGGACTAGTGACTAGAGAGAGACATGGGGGGAAAAAAGAGTATTAAGTAGGTAATATTTTGGTGTCAAAACAAAATTATTGAAACTCTACAGCATGCTTTACGGAAAAGGGCTTTAAAAATCTGTGGAATCTATAATATATATTACAGATATGCAATATTTTGTTGATTGACAACATTTATAAAATATACCAATTTTTACATACATGACACAAAAGGGGTAAACTCCTTTTTCAGGTCATGAACATGCCTACTACAGTTATGTTATTTGACCCATTATCCTATTTAGTCACAAAATGTATTTTAAGGTACTCACTGAGAATCATGCAGGCTTGACTTCTAAGCTAACAGTATGTATATGAGGAAAGGTGTTTTGTGCTGATTTATGTGTTTTTACTAAATGTTACACCACCTCAGGATCAGAGCTGGATATGTTGATTAACATATATGGCTACTAAAAATAAAATATTGGTAAGAACTATAAGAAAAATGATGAATCTTCTACTTTTGATTAACTTTAAAAATAGGAGCATCAGCCCTCTGCCTGGGATGGAGTAAGTGCTCACTAGAGAGAAGGCCCTCTTTCCATCCACGTGGGTCCTTTCTGTCAGTCTTACAAACTAGTCTGTAGCCACAGGGGGGCACACTTACATCATGTGTTTTTCTACTCAAATGGTGCAAACGTAATAAACTTGGATTACCAATAACTTTAATGAAACATATAATTAAAATCCTATTAAGAACCATAGTTTATGTTGTGCTTCTAGTTCAGTAGTAAATGATAATCTTCTGATAATCATAATATACACTATTTTAGTCAAACTTGTGAGTGACAAAGCTATTGAAACATCTTCAAGTTTGTTTAATGTTATGACAATATCTAGTCTCTTCTCAAACTCTTTTTTTTTTTTTTTTTTTTTTTTACATTTTCAAGCTGTTGCTTAAATCTAATTTACCATTAATTTTGTAAAATGTGGGTGTGGTTTTTTTTCAATCACCTGTATTGTGCCTGAAATCTTGATTAGCTTCCAGAGGTAGAAGAAAAATTATTTGATGCCTAACTGCTATGTTTTGTGAATAGTAATGAATTGGCTGCTTATTATTGTGTACCTTTTCAGTAAATCAAAGTAAAATTTTACTCTGCTGTTCCATTATTTTCTTTATTAAAACTTTTTCACAATTATCAAATCAAGAGGAAAATGAGTGCTCTGTGACATTTGACTATTACCAGCACAGAGCTGCCAACTCACTTTTCATTAGTAATAGGATGATTTTTATTTTAAATCACATTGGTCACACTAGTTAAGAAATAGAGTCACATGACCGAAAAAGGAAATTTAAAAATGTCCATTTACTTCACAGGGATAGTGATGGCCCTCTTATTACTACACCTTTCAGATAAACACTAATATATGAAACACAAGCAAAACAAAGAGATTATTTTATTTAAAAGACATTCTATTTTCTAACTTGGTCAAATTTAAACAAAACTTAGCACATTCTGAATGTGATTGGAAATTGTTTTTTCAATGTACATTGTTGTGAGTCTTCTTTTCTGAAAATGAAAAATGGTCAATTAAATGCCATTATATTGTTTCCATTTTAACAGTAAAAACCTTACTGTTGGAGAAAATGATTGTACTTTAAGTTAGCATAAGGAAATTTAGAATAATAAGGATGCCATGCAAAATGCCAAAGAAAAAACTGTTGTATGCTGCTATTATCCAATGATAATTTGACTATTTTAACACAAAAAATATTGATATACAAGTTTATACTTATAATAGCACAGTTATATAATTTACCAGCAAAAGAAACTTTTTATTTCCCTTGGAGTTATATTATCCATTATAATGAGTCCACAAATGTTTACTCGGTTTCAACTATATTTAAGAAATAATCACTTCACATTTTTATTCACATATATAGAGTGCTTCCCAACAATCCCCATAGCAGAGCAGCATAATCATCTCTGATTTTTGAAAAAAGTGTAGAGAATTTTTATATAAAAACATATAAACCACAAAGACATGCTTATTCCTTTCTTTTAATTCTGTTCTTCTGTAAATATCAAAAGTACTTGCTAAGCAATAGCCGCACTGTTTTGCTATAAGACATCACTGTAAGTATCTGGACACTTGGGTTTCAACCCACCATGCTGAGAACACTTCATTAAACTCACAGAT